TTACAGGAAAGTGAGTGCAGGAGGGAAGAGGAGCGATTGGTGGAATGATGATGTAAAGAGAGTAGTAAGGGAGAAAAAGTTAGCATATGAGAAGTTTTTACAAAGTAGAAGTGATGCAAGGAGGGAAGAGTATATGGAGAAAAAGAGAGAGGTTAAGAGAGTGGTGAAGCAATGTAAAAAGAGAGCAAATGAGAGAGTGGGTGAGATGTTATCAACAAATTTTGTTGAAAATAAGAAAAAGTTTTGGAGTGAGATTAACAAGTTAAGAAAGCCTAGAGAACAAATGGATTTGTCAGTTAAAAATAGGAGAGGAGAGTTATTAAATGGAGAGTTAGAGGTATTGGGAAGATGGAGGGAATATTTTGAGGAATTGTTAAATGTTGATGAAGATAGGGAAGCTGTGATTTCGTGTATAGGGCAAGGAGGAATAACATCTTGTAGGAGTGAGGAAGAGCCAGTTGTGAGTGTGGGGGAAGTTCGTGAGGCAGTAGGTAAAATGAAAGGGGGTAAGGCAGCCGGGATTGATGGGATAAAGATAGAAATGTTAAAAGCAGGTGGGGATATAGTTTTGGAGTGGTTGGTGCAATTATTTAATAAATGTATGGAAGAGGGTAAGGTACCTAGGGATTGGCAGAGAGCATGCATAGTTCCTTTGTATAAAGGCAAAGGGGATAAAAGAGAGTGCAAAAATTATAGGGGGATAAGTCTGTTGAGTATACCTGGTAAAGTGTATGGTAGAGTTATTATTGAAAGAATTAAGAGTAAGACGGAGAATAGGATAGCAGATGAACAAGGAGGCTTTAGGAAAGGTACGGGGTGTGTGGACCAGGTGTTTACAGTGAAACATATACGTGAACAGTATTTAGATAAGGCTAAAGAGGTCTTTGTGGCATTTATGGATTTGGAAAAGGCGTATGACAGGGTGGATAGGGGGGCAATGTGGCAGATGTTGCAGGTGTATGGTGTAGGAGGTCGGTTACTGAAAGCAGTGAAGAGTTTTTACGAGGATAGTGAGGCTCAAGTTAGAGTATGTAGGAAAGAGGGAAATTATTTCCCAGTAAAAGTAGGCCTTAGACAAGGATGTGTGATGTCACCGTGGTTGTTTAATATATTTATAGATGGGGTTGTAAGAGAAGTAAATGCGAGGGTCTTGGCAAGAGGCGTGGAGTTAAAAGATAAAGAATCACACAGAAAGTGGGAGTTGTCACAGTTGCTCTTTGCTGATGACACTGTGCTCTTTGGAGATTCTGAAGAGAAGTTGCAGAGATTGGTGGATGAATTTGGTAGGGTGTGCAAAAGAAGAAAATTAAAGGTGAATACAGGAAAGAGTAAGGTTATGAGGATAACAAAAAGATTAGGTGATGAAAGATTGGATATCAGATTGGAGGGAGAGAATATGGAGGAGGTGAATGTATTCAGATATTTGGGAGTGGACGTGTCAGTGGATGGGTCTATGAAAGATGAAGTGAATCATAGAATTGATGAAGGGAAAAGGGTGAGTGGTGCACTTAGGAGTCTGTGGAGACAAAGAACTTTGTCCTTGGAGGCAAAGAGGGGAATGTATGAGAGTATAGTTTTACCAACGCTCTTATATGGGTGTGAAGCGTAGGTGATGAATGTTGCAGCGAGGAGAAGGCTGGAGGCAGTGTAGTTGTCATGTCTGAGGGCAATGTGTGGTGTGAATATAATGCAGAGAATTCGTAGTTTGGAAGTTAGGAGGAGGTGCGGGATTACCAAAACTGTTGTCCAGAGGGCTGAGGAAGGGTTGTTGAGGTGGTTCGGACATGTAGAGAGAATGGAGCGAAACAGAATGACTTCAAGAGTGTATCAGTCTGTAGTGGAAGGAAGGCGGGGTAGGGGTCGGCCTAGGAAAGGTTGGAGGGAGGGGGTAAGGGAGGTTTTGTGTGCGAGGAGCTTGGACTTCCAGCAGGCATGCGTGAGCGTGTTTGATAGGAGTGAATGGAGACAAATGGTTTTTAATACTTGACGTGCTGTTGGAGTGTGAGCAAAGTAACATTTATGAAGGGGTTCAGGGAAACCGGCAGGCCAGACTTGAGTCCTGGAGATGGGAAGTACAGTGCCTGCACTCTGAAGGAGGGGTCTTAATGTTGCAGTTTAAAAACTGTAGTGTAAAGCACACTTCTGGCAAGACAGTGATGGAGTGAATGATGGTGAAAGTTTTTCTTTTTCAGGCCACCCTGCCTTGGTGGACCACCCTGCCTTGGTGGTCCACCCTGCCTTGGTGGGAATCGGCCAGTGTGATAATAAAATAATAAAATAATAAACTAGCCACTACCATCCACAGGATGGATATGAGGTACAAAATAAACTAGCCACTACCATCCACAGGATGGATATGAGGTGCACAATAAACTAGCCACTACCATCCACAGGATGGATATGAGGTACACAATAAACTAGCCACTACCATCCACAGGTTGGATATGAGGTACACAATAAACTAGCCACTACCATCCACAGGTTGGATATGAGGTACACAATAAACTAGCCACTACCATCCACAGGATGGATATGAGGTACAAAATAAACTAGCCACTACCATCCACAGGATGGATATGAGGTACACAATAAACTAGCCACTACCATCCACAGGATGGATATGAGGTACACAATAAACTAGCCACTACCATCCACAGGATGGATATGAGGTGCACAATAAACTAGCCACTACCATCCACAGGATGGATATGAGGTACAAAATAAACTAGCCACTACCATCCACAGGATGGATATGAGGTGCATAATAAACTAGCCACTACCATCCACAGGATGGATATGAGGTACACAATAAACTAGCCACTACCATCCACAGGATGGATATGAGGTACACAATAAACTAGCCACTACCATCCACAGGATGGATATGAGGTACACAATAAACTAGCCAGTACCATTCACAAGATGGATATGAGGTGCATAATAAACTAGCCACTACCATCCACAGGATGGATATGAGGTACACAATAAACTAGCCACTACCATCCACAGGATGGATATGAGGTACACAATAAACTAGCCACTACCATCCACAGAATAGATATGAGGTACACAATAAACTAGCCACTACCATCCACAGGATAGATATGAGGTACACAATAAACTAGCCACTACCATCCACAGGATGGATGAGGTACACAATAAACTAGCCACTACCATTCACAGGATGGATATGAGGTACACAATAAACTAGCCACTACGTTCCACAGGATGGATATGAGGTACACAATAAATTAGCCACTACCATCCACAGGATGGATATGAGGTACACAATAAACTAGCCACTACCATCCACAGAATGGATATGAGGTACACAATAAACTAGCCACTACCATCCACAGGATGGATATGAGGTACACAATAAACTAGCCACTACCATCCACAGGATGGATATGAGGTACACAATAAACTAGCCACTACCATCCACAGGATGGATGAGGTACACAATAAACTAGCCACTACCATCCACAGGATGGATGAGGTACACAATAAACTAGCCACTACCATCCACAGGATGGATATGAGGTACACAATAAACTAGCCACTACCTTCCACAGGATGGATATGAGGTACACAATAAACTAGCCACTACCATCCACAGGATGGATGAGGTACACAATAAACTAGCCACTACCATCCACAGGATGGATGAGGTACACAATAAACTAGCCACTACCATCCACAGGATGGATATGAGGTACACAATAAACTAGCCACTACCTTCCACAGGATGGATATGAGGTACACAATAAACTAGCCACTACCATCCACAGGATGGATGAGGTACACAATAAACTAGCCACTACCATCCACAGGATGGATGAGGTACACAATAAACTAGCCACTACCATCCACAGGATGGATGAGGTACACAATAAACTAGCCACTACCATCCACAGGATGGATGAGGTACACAATAAACTAGCCACTACCATCCACAGGATGGATATGAGGTACACAATAAACTAGCCACTACCATCCACAGGATGGATGAGGTACACAATAAACTAGCCACTACCATCCACAGGATGGATGAGGTACACAATAAACTAGCCACTTCAGTGGCAAAATTTAAAATCTATCCTGCCTTGGTGGGAAATACCCAAGGTGTAAATATAAAAATAAAAAAAATAATTTACAGAGTGTATATAATATACAAACTGTATATAATATATATAATATACACAATGTACAGGTCGTCCTTGATTTACGACAGAGTTACGTTCCGACGGACCCATCGTAAGCTTAATATATTGGTATCTCAGGATACGAACAGCTCAAAACTCGAACAATTATGTAAGTGTATTAATTAAGTGCTTTTGTAAGAGTATTTTTGGGGGGTCTGAAACAGATTAATCTAGTTTACATTATTCCTTATGGTAACAAATTCGTTTGGTATTGGCACTTGAACAGCCTTCTGGAATGAATTAAGTTCGTATCCCGAGGTACCACTGTATATCCTGTCGAAAATATCCAAAGTCAAAAATATTGTAAGTTGAATATGAATATGATGGATAACTAAAGTATTCTGGGATCCTCTTTTGTTAAAAGGGTTTCTGTCTCCATGTGGGTTAATACTGAGCTTGAGTATAATATGATAATTATGCAAATAAATAACTATTATCACTGAATAAGTCAATAAACAAATAATTACTGTAACTAAATACTACCAGTATCAAAAAGTCAATAAATGAATACAAGTTAGGGACTTGTTGCCTTCATGTTGAGTAATTATCTTAAATTTCACTTCCAAAGTAACTGCTTCTGCACCATCGTAAAGTTGAAATATCGTAAGTTGTACCATTGTAAGTCAAGGAGCGCCTGTACTTGTATTGAGCTACAATAATTATTTGTTTACTTATTCATTTACTATATCATATTCACATTTGACCTGGGATTTTTCTGACACGTAACCCTACAGTATGTCGAGGACCACCTGTACTGCACAAAAATTTTTTTAATTTAAATGCAGTAACAGTCACCTGGCGCAGTCTCGACAATATACTGAGCGAAGAGATGTATGGCTAACTTAGAGAGGCCATAACTCCTGACATGGTCGGCAAAGGTCGTCGGTTTGGACAATTCTCGAGGATCGTAGTGAAGCAGGTCCTGTTCACTGACTAACTTGTGTGCCGCCGATGAGACGAAGACAATGCGGCTGGCAGGGGAGCGCTGGATGTCCTTCAGTAGTAACTGAGTGAGCAGGAACACACCTGTAACCACACAATCAAACACTAAACACTTTCTACCGCCTGCTATATACAGTAGTCCCCCTGGTATCTGTGAGGGATACATTCCAAGCCCTGCTGTGGATACATGAAACTGTGGATAGTAGTAAGGCTGGTAGTGGAAGTAGTAGCAGAGTAATAGTGGTAGTAGAAAGTAGGGAAAATAGTTAAACAGCACAAGAGAGAACAGGGAGTGATGGGTGAAGCGAGGTAATAGTAATGGTAGTAGCAACAGTAGTAGAAATAGAGTGGTAGTAGAAGTGGGGTCAGTCTAAGGACAAGTCAGACCGAAACATTGTAATAAGCTTTTATCTCTCCTGTGTGCATGTTATTTGTGTAATTTTCTGGTATATCAATGCTAGCTGCTTCACCCTGTACTTTGATGCTGTTAAGTTGGCTCCTTCCTGTAAACTTCTGAAACCAGCTTCTGCCAACTTCATATTTATCTTCACCAGCTTCCTTGCCTCTCTCAGCCTTCAAAGAACCAAAGAGACTTTGGGCCATGGACTGGGTAATGGCTTGGCGTAAAGGCACGTTATGACTGGTTTGATCTTCAGTCAAATTCAGATTCAGATTATTTCATCATGATACAGTAACAAAAAAGGCACAATACCGTGGCTGGAACAATACACAAATAACCCGCACATAGAAGAAAGGAGCTTACGACAACGTTTCGGTCTGATTTGGACCGAAATGTCATCATAAGCTCCTCTCTTCTATGTGCAGGTTATTTGATATGATACAATGTTTGTACAAAGGAGTATGACATTTGGGTGTGCAGGCCAAAAGTCCCTTTATATGCAGAGCATTTCGGGTAAACTTAAGACTAATTTAAAATTAATAACACAATAACAAGAGTAATTTTGTACATAGTCACTTAAGTGAGTGTAAATGTAAATTTAGGAGTTACAATGAATACAAGAGAACTGAATATTCTATTAGATCATGCTATATGGCTTTAATAAGTTTAAAAGAGAGGAATTAATAAGGTAATAAGTTATTGAATGCCTATACTATATATGGTCTCTAGTTGGTTGTAACCATAAATTTTGGAATTACAAGGAACACAAGAGAACTGAATAGTGTATTAACCCTTAAACTGTCCAAACGTAGATCTACGATTTTTCAACATTTGAAAGTACGTAAAAAAACGTAATCTTTTTTTTTTTTTTTACATTTGAAAATGTGTAAAAAAAACTTTGATCTACTTTTTTTTTGTCATACAGTGGACCCTCACATAACGAATACATTGTATAACGTTAAATCCGCCTAACAAAGTGTTCGAGCATAAAAATTTTGCCTCGCCTCACAATAAAAAACTCGCCTTAAGTGATTCATCTAAGACACGTCCCACGTGTGGCCTCAGCGCCAGTGTTTACAAGTCAGCCAATGCGGTCGCATCTATGCATACATTCGGTACATTTCACATTATCACAGTGTTTTTAGTGCTTGTAACTACAAAATAAGTCACCATGGGCCCCAAGAAAGCTTCTAGTGCCATCCCTGTGGTAAAAAGGCCGAGAATTAGTATGGAATTGAAAAAAGAGATTAAGGTAATGTGTGCAAAGTGGGTTGAACTGCAAACCTTTACGGATGAAAATTACCCTGACACAGCTACTGCAAGCCGTGCTGGTGACTATTACAATGACAATGTTGTGGCCCATTGTAGGGAAATCTTAAAGGAACATGAGGTACAGAGCTCTATGGACAGATTTGTTGTGCGACAGAGCTCCAGTGACTCTCAAACTGGTCCTAGTGGCATTAAAAGAAAAAGGGAAGTAACCCCGGAAAAAGACTTGCTACCTCAAGTCCTCATGGAAGGGGATTCCCCTTCCAAACAATAACAACTTCCACACTCTCCCCTCCTCCCATCCCATCAATCATCACCAGATCTTCAATAAAGGTAAGTGTCATGTATTCTTTATTTAGTATAATAGTAATTGTGCATGTCTTCTTCTTTTTGGGTGTATAAAAATGTATATTTCATGTGGTAATTTTTTTTTCCATACTTTGGGGTGTCAGGAACGGATTAATTTGATTTCCATTATTTCTTATGGGGGAAATTAATTCGGGTAACGATAATCTTGGCTAACGATGAGCACTCAGGAACGGATTAATATCATTAGGCGAGGGTCCACTGTACAGTGGACCCCCGCATAACGATCACCTCCAAATGCGACCAATTATGTAAGTGTATTTATGTAAGTGCGTTTGTACGTGTATGTTTGGGGGTCTGAAATGGACTAATCTACTTCACAATATTCCTTATGGGAAAAAATTCGGTCAGTACTGGCACCTGAACATACTACTGGAATGAAAAAAGTTCGTTAACCGGGGGTCCACTGTATTTGAAAATTATTTTTTTTTTTTTTTTATTATCACACCGGCCGATTCCCACCAAGGCAGGGTGGCCCGAAAAAGAAAAACTTTCACCATCATTCACTCCATCACTGTCTTGCCAGAAGGGTGCTTTACTTTTGGAGCACTACGCATGTGAACGTAAATCTGTTTGGACACTTTAACCCATAAACGGTCCAAGCAGATCTACGTTCACATGTGTAGTGCTACAAAAGTAGATCTACGTTTTTTTTACACATTTTCAAATGTAAAAAAACAAAAAGATCTACTTTTTTTACATACTTTCAAATGTTGAAAAAACGTATATATACGTTTGGACCGTTTACGGGTTAAGGGTTAATGCATTCTATAACATTTATCGAGTTTGTTTTAAGGATTACAGGTAAAAGTAAAGAGTTTTCATGGCAGCAACGAGGCCATCACGTTCTCTTACAACATTAGTGTTAACTGGCGTAGCACTTTTAATTTCCTTTAACGCTTTCCCCTTAGAACCGACAACTGTACAAACTGACGAGCCAAACCTAGCCTAGTCCTGTCTAAGCCATAGATATAACTTTCTCACTTGAATCATTTCTAACTTGGCATTTAAAGAGCCTTAAGTCTCCTCCTTTTTATCACAACTAACTTTTCGATGTCACCGTAACCAACACAAAAATATTGCGTATAATGTACGTAATGTTTAAGATGTCTGGATCTGGAAAATTGCCAGAATACAGGCGGGCATCAACTTACGATGGGGTTGTATTCCTATGAACCCATCGTAAGTTGAAAATATTGTAAGTTAAAAATATCATATATCGAAAATATCATACGTCGAAAATATTTTAAGTCAAAAATATCTTGCTGAAAGTAATGTAAGTTGAATACAAGTATATGATTAATAAATAAGTAAATAAATAACTCCTTCACTGAATAAACAAATAATTACTGTAACTAACTAAATACAGTGGACCCTCGCATAACGTTGGCATCACATAACGTTAAATTCGCATAACAATACTTTTAATGCTAACATTTTCCCTCGGATAACGTTAAAAAAATCACTTAACGATATTCGTTCTCGGGTACCAATTAATATCGTTATGTGAGGGTCCACTGTACCAGTATTGAAAAGTCAATCAATGAATACAAGTTAGGGACTTGCCACTGTTGTGTTGGGTAATTATCTTAAGTTTCATCTCCAAAGTAATTGCTTTAGCACCATCGTAAAGTTGAAATATTGCAAGTCGAACCATCATAGGTCAAGGAGCGCCTGTAATATATGAGAGGTGACAGAAGACGCAGTAAGACAGTAGGTGAACAATAAGTCTAACCACTCAACTCACCAAGATAGTTGGTCTGGTAAGTGACCTCGATCTGGTCCCCAGTGAGTGCTGGCGGATGGTGGAAGACGGCGGCGTTGTTCACCAGGGCGTCCAACCTCTGTTCACCTGTACGTGGTGATGTATCAAGCCAGATGAACAAGTATAATACATAAAGTAGCCTGGAACCTAACCTGCTGTATAAGCAGGGCCCTACAGTAGCCCAGAACCTAGCCTGCTGTATAAGCGGGGCCCTACTCTACATAAGAAATGAGAAACACTGCAGTAGGCCTACTGGCCCATACTAGACAGGGCCTTCTCAACCTAAACCTGCTAACACAAGCATTTACCCGAAACCCGTTTTCAATTCTATGCATGATTAAGAGCTAAACCTGCATGGGTTGTATAGCATTAGGTCAATGGGAAGTGCTGTACAACTTTCTGTACACACCGACCAAGGCAGACCCACCCAAAAAATGAAAATACTTTAACCATTATTCTTCCGATGCTGCAGACTGGATTTTCATCTGAGGGACCTAAACCAAAATTTCAATCTGATAAGGGATTTATTAAAGCCAGAATTTTAATCTGAAGGGGGATTATTAAAGCCAGGATTTTAATCTGAGGGAAGCTTATTAAAGCCAGGATTTAAACCAAGGGAGGATTTATTACAGACAAGATTTTTAATTTGATGGGGCTTATTAAAACCAGGATTTTACTCTGATGGGGGCTTATTAAAGTTGGGATTTTAATGAGGGGCTTAATTAAATCTAGGATTTAAGTGAGGGGTTTAATTAAAGTTAGGATTTTAATGAGGGGCTAAATTAAATCTAGGATTTCAGTGAGAGGGGTTTAATTAAAGCCAGGATTTCAATCTGAGGGGGCTTAATTAAAGCCAGGATTTTAATCTGAGGGGCTTAAATAGGGTGCTACAAGGGTCATATGCAGCATCGTTATGACCCCTAAGGGTCAAGTGCTCCACTATGATTATAACAACAACAACAAGGGTAGTACAGCACCAGTGTACATTTCCATGAATACACAAGAGGCTACCGCACTTACGTTTTGAAAATTCGTGGACGAACGACCGAATTGACGAGAAATCTGTGAGGTCCAGGTGGAGAAAGTAGACAGACCGGTTGCCGGTAGAGCTGCGCAGGTTTTCTGCTACGGCTTCACCAATCTTGTGCTTACGGAAAGCCAGATACACGGTTGCACCTGGGATAAGTTCGAAGATTATTATTACAAAGGTTACAGAGGTCAGTTAATACACCTTTGAACAGGTGTCCCTTGATCTGAGAGATACTAGGTTATTACAGAGGTTATGGTGATCAGTTAACATTGTGACCTTTGTACAGGTGTCCCTCACTCACATGGACTGCCCAAGTCATACGCAAAAATCGACACAAATGAAACATGTTAGTACAGCCTCTCCTCACTTAACGACAGAGTCCTGTTCCTAAGACCTCGTCAGTAAATGAATTCGTCACTAAGTGAGGAGCATACTATAATGGTAGTGGGTTTTTGTCAACCATCTCTGATATTATTTTAATGTCACCTTCGCAATGACCATGCCAAAATGTCTACTGTCTACAATGTTGTATTCTCCCATATTCAAAGTACATTTCCACATGATACAATGTTTATACAGTAATGGCTGACACTAGATTCCATGCAGAAAGCCCGTAGCTATGTGGAGCATTTCGGGCAAGCATAAGCTTATCTTAAGACTACAACGGGCAATAAATATTGCATATACAGGTGCTCTTCGACTTACAATGGTTTAATTTACAATGGTTCAACTTACGATGGTTTGATTTACAATGGTTCAGCTTACAATGGTTCGACTTACAATGGTTCAACTTACAATGGTTCAACTTACAATGGTTCAACTTACAATGGTTCAACTTACAATGGTTCAACTTACAATGGTTCGACTTACAATGGTTCAACTTACAATGGTTCAACTTACAATGGTTCAACTTACAATGGTTCAACTTACAATGGTTCAACTTACAATGGTTCAACTTACAATGGTTCAACTTACAATGGTTCGACTTACAATGGTTCAACTTACAATGGTTCGACTTACAATGGTTCAACTTTACAATGGTGCAAAAGTAATTACTCTGAAGATAAAACTTAAGATAATTACTCAACATGAAGGCAACACGTCCGTAACTTTTATTCATTTATTGACTTTTCAATACAGGTATTTAGTTACAGTAATTATTTATTTATTTACTTATTCAGTGATGGTAGTTATTTATTAATCATAATAAATAAGTAAACAATAGGGAGGGGCGTTGATGTTGCAGTTTTTTGGCTGTAGTATCGGCACACCTCTGGCAAGACAGTGATGGAGTGAGTGATGGTGAAGGTGTTTCTTCTTTTTCAGATCACTTTCCCTTGGTGGGAAACAGCCAATGTATTAATAAAAAAATAACATTCATTTTTGACTTACGATATTTTTTTTATTTACAACGCATTCATTTGAACGTAACCCCATGGTAAATCGAGACTCACTTGTAATGAAGAGTAAATAAATGATTGCTTATCCTATCAATAAATGTACAGTACTGAATGTGCTTTATCCTATCAATAAATGTACAGTACTGAATGTGCTTTATCCTATCAATAAATGTACAGTACTGAATGTGCTTTATCCTATCAATAAATGTACAGTACTGAATGTACTTTGCTATCGCACCATCATAAAGTCAAAATATAGTTAGTAAAACCATTGCAGAGCAAGGATGCACCTCTGTTCATTTTTTTTTAAATGAGATTATTTTACAGCAGGTCTTACCTTTCCTGGCTAGATCAAGGGCAGTTGAGTGACCAATACCACTGCTGGAGCCAGTGACGATCACCACTTTCTCTCTCACTCGGTTCTGACAACGGCATGCAATGGAGTTCGTCAATCTGTTGGAAGCCGCGACTTTCAATTATGAGGCCATTATGACCATATGTATTATATGTACTGTTTGGCATGTACACCCAACTATTATATTCCTTTCTACAAACATGTATCATGCTGAAATAATTATTATTATTATTATTGTGCAGTTTTTTACTATAAGAAGATAAGAAGGAAGGACTCCATGGGGAAGTGGAACAGAATTCTTCGTGCATAAGCCATGCGTGTCATAAGAGGCGACTAAAATGCCAGGAGCAAGGGGCTAGTAACCCCTTCTTCTGTATACATTACTAAAGTTAAAAAGAGAAGCTTTCGTTTTTCTTTTTAGGTCACCCTGCCTCAGTTGGTTACAAATAGTTGAGAAAAAAATAAAGAAGAAAATGGTAAAGTGCTAGACCGGTCAACTTGTGGACTGCGATACGCAACTCCTGACAGGAAGTGACAGTTGTTTCTTATGAGTTACTCTGAATTCACATATAACAAGACATTCTAAGTTATTCGTTGACTGCCACTTTTTACGAGTTAATCTGACATTCTGAATTACCAATGTCTGATGAATGTCGTAAATTCTCTTTTGTAAAGTTTCTGTGATTTTAGTTATGAATGTGCCTGAAAAACTCGATCCAAAACTGAAGAGTGTGTACTACAAAGACCTCCTCATATGCTGTTCATTTTCTGATGTATTTTTTCAATAATCACCAAAAATTGTATTTTACAGAGCTTTATAATAGAACGGACTTTTTTCAATAATATTTACCAAAAATTGCATTTACAGAGGGGATTTATAAGATTGTTCACTGTACCCCAAATTAGATATCTGAAAAAAACCATCAACATTGCAATTGAGCAAACGTTATCTTAGACAACAGATGACTGTCAAAAAATCTTAAGTTAACGGGAGGTTGAAGGACATCTTAGTCAAAGTCAGATTTATTGCAAATTAAAAATCAAATTTTATTTCTTTGCATATTGTACAGTGTGTGATTTACACATTATAAAATACTGTTAGGTACAATGAAAGCCACTAGCATGCCTGAGTATTTCAGGCAGCCTAGGCCCAATGCTTACAGCCTACTTAAAACTAGACATAGGTTACAGAGAGGGTAATTTTAATTATTCATTATTTTATTCTTTACAAAAGTAGCCAAAAATATTTGTAAAGAGATGGGCGACATTTGGCCGTACTTGCAGAAAGCCCATGGTCATGCAGAGCATTTCGTGCAAGCTTAGGCCTAACCTAAGACTACTGCCACAACACAAATGCGGTGAGGTGGCACTGGGCAAGAGGCTTAATCCCACTAGCAACCGTGCAACATGCAAGCTTTAACAGCTGGCTCGTCTGCTGCAGATCACTGGCCTAGTCATCACGAGTGGTTGAAATGAGTTTGTTGAAACAAATGAGACATACAAAATTTACCCTAGAAAATATTCCCCAATCTTAAAGGATAATTCAGTAATTCCTTGAATTAAAAACATGCTGAGAATCTTCTGTATTATGTATATCATCAATGTGTATAATATCACTATTATATCATTATTATACACAATTCAGGTCTCCAACGTGTTCGTAAGTTAAAGACTTCCTGTACATTATCCTGAAAATGAAACAAGTCTCTAACTTACAAAAGAGTAACATCCCAGAGTAACAGGAAGTCTTCAACTTATGAACACGGTGTGTATAAAGCATACCACGGGTGGGGATAGAACCTGCGATCAGAGAGTCTCAAAATTCCAGAATGTTGCGTTAGCCAGTTTTGAGACTCTCTGATCGCGGGTTCTATCCTCGCCCGTGGTATGGTTCGTTTGCCATCGTGTCATTACGATTTCATGAGACATTGTGTATAATAATGATATCATACACAATAATGATATAACAATGACATTAAACATAATGCAGATGATTCTCAACGTGTCTGTAACTTGAGTATTTACCGTAATTGAAAAGCACTGTATTAGCGAAGCCTCTAAAGTGACATGCCATATTAGCAAGGTACGCCTGTATTCCATTTGCAAGTACAGATGGTTACAATTTTAAGCATGTGAATGTTACTCTCCAGCATGTATAAAATTTGTTGCACAGAGCAACCACTCGTGATAACGAGAGTGCAAGCAGTTAGTGCCAGCAGACAGCACAAGCAGGCAAAACATCTCAAGCAGTAAACACCCTCAACTCACTGCAACCATCGTTTCAGAAGCATAACTCCGGCGTCAACCACGCGGCAGAAGGCACAGACCAAGTAAGCCGTCAAAGCTGTAAGTGCACCAAGTGTAACCACGGCCATGTGTCTATGTTTATATAGTCAAGCACAGAGGCCCCACTTGCCTTCCTATATAAGCTCAGGGAACATAAAAGACTAACATTACTGAAAATAAAAGAGACTTACTGCAGGAGCTCCTCGACTTACGGTATTTCAAGTTTACAGTGGTGCAAAAGCAATTTAGGGATAAAACTTAAGATAATTACCCAACATGAAGGCAACAAGTCCCTAACTTGTATTCATTTATTGACTTTTCAATACTGGTATTTAGCTACAGTAATTATTTGTTTATTTACTTATACAGTGACAGTAGTTATTTATTTACTTAGCAAATCATTTTCATATTCGACTCACGATATTTTTGATATATGATATTTTCATTTGCGGTATTTTCAACTTACGATGTTTTCGACTTACGATATTTTCAACTTGCGATATTTTTGATTTACGATATTTTTTATTCGCAGTATTTTCAACTTATGATATTTCCAACTTATGATATTTTCGACTTACGATGGGTTTGTCGGAACGTAACCCCATAGTAAGTCGAGGAGCACCTGTACTCTAATAATTATCTGTGGGTCTGAGTAAAATCTCAATTTAACAAAATATTAATGGGCAGGTGCCCGGGGATGCCCAGGGATACCTGGGGATGCCTGGGGATGCCCAAGATGGCAGAGGTGAAAGAGGCAAGAGCGATGACAGAGGTGAAAGAGGTGGAAGAGATGACAGGTGAGACAGGAGAGGTGACATAGGTGAGACAGGAGATATGACAGAGGTGAGGTGGAAGAGATGACAGAGGTGAGACAGAAGAGATGACAGAGGTGAGGCAGAAGAGATGACAGAGGTGAGGCAGAAGAGATGACAGAGGTGAGGTGGAAGAGATGACAGAGGTGAGGTGGAAGAGATGACAGAGGTGAGACGGAAGAGATAACAGAGGTGAGACGGAAGAGACGACAGTCATGAGCACAACAGAGGCTGGGACTGCCAGAAAAAGAAAGGCGGACAAACCCACCATTCAAATTCAAGTTCTAATTCAAATTTCACTTTGTAGCACAAAAATAATGTAGCTTACACATAATAAAATACTGTAAGGTACAAAATAAAGCCACTAACATGCAAAGCATTTCTGCCAAACTAATTCTAATTCTAATGCTTCAATGTCACTTAAGATTTAGACATAGGCTATTAAGTAGGCTTTCTTATACAGTTAACTACAGTTTTATGTACAATAATAATAATAATAATAATAATAATAATAATAATAATAATAATAATAATAATAATAATAATAATAATATCTTTATTTCTACATGTACAACTTATACAGACCATAGCTGACATCAATGACATACTACTATATAGAAAGCCACTTGTTATGCTGAACATTTCCCACAAATTAGGTCAATTTTGTCACCAGGATGCGATTGTTCAACTGCCTCCCAGCACACATAAGGGGGATTACCAACAGACCCCTGGCAGTCTTCAAGACCCCTGGCAGTCTTCAAGACCCCTGGCAGTCTTCAAGACCCCTGGCAGTCTTCAAGACCCCTGGCAGTCTTCAAGCTGGCACTGGACAAACACCTAAAGTTGGTACCTGACCAGCCGAGCTGTGGCTCGTACGTTGGTTTGCGTGCAACCAGCAGTAACAGCCTGGTTGATCAGGCCCTGACCCACCATGAGGCCTGGTCACAGACTGATAGTAAACCACTAAATTATAGTTAACTAACAGTAGGGATCAGCTGGCTGGTAATGGTGAGTGTGGTAGATAGAGATGAAACAGTTCTGCTGTGATTATAACAATAACCAATAATTCTGTAAGTGCGGAAGATTTTGTAACCAATTATGTTCAGTTCTGTAAAGAATTACAAATAATTCTGCAACCAATTATTATTATTATAATCAAAAAGAAGTGCTAAACCTACACGGGTCATACAGCTCTGTAACCAATCAAGGAAAATTATGTAATTATGGATAATTCTGTAATTATGGATAATTCTGTAATTATGGATAATTCTGTAATTATGGATAATTCTGTAATTATGGATAATTCTGTAATTATGGATAATTCTGTAATTATGGATAATTCTGTAATTATGGATAATTCTGTAATTATGGATAATTCTGTAATTATGGATAATTCTGTAATTATGGATAATTCTGTAATTATGGATAATTCTGTAATTATGGATAATTCTGTAATTATGGATAATTCTGTTATTATGGATAATTCTGTTATTATGGATAATTCTGTAATTATGGATAATTCTGTAATTATGGATAATTCTGTAATTATGGATAATTCTGTTATTATGGATAATTCTGTTATTATGGATAATTCCGTAACCAATTATGGATAATTTTACAATCACCCGACTTTGTCCGTTGTTTTTGAATCAACATCGCAGAGTTTTGTGCCGTACAGTGGACCCTCGCCGTACGATATTAATTCATTCCAGAAGTCTGTTCGGGTGCTGTTACCGAACAAATTTGTTCCCATAAGGAATACATGTATTGCAAATTAGATTAGTCCGTTTCTGACCGCCAAAAATACACGTACAAAAGCGCTTACAAAAATACGCTTACATAATTGTTCGAGTTGGAAGCCGACCGTAAGACGGGGGTCCACTGTATTTCCAAAATATGTTTAAACTCGCTTATCCCCCGAACCACAGAAAATACGTTTAAACAAAAGTTCGCTTATCCCCCGAACCACAGAAAAAAGGCAGTGTTTTTACCGTACGGCCGCAGACACATACCTGCGACTAGCTTCGAGAGTTTTCTTACTCCCAGAACCCAGCCTGGGGTCGGTACTTCCCGGTGGCTGCGCTATCCGCCAGGCTATTGCTGCCCGCGGCACGCACGCCCGCATAGCAATCATAGCCCAGACGATCAGGCAAATCCGCTGGATATTTTTTAAAATTTCTGCTCGGCTCACCAAAAATTTATTCCTTAAATATGCTAATTATCGTTATCGGAAAATCGGAAAAAAAAATACCGAAGGAATATATTTATAAACATTTACCTGAAACAAAAAAAAAAAAGAGTAAAATTATAATATACAAAAAATTTATCCTAAATCAACAAAAAAAATCGAAATATCATGACTAATATTAATCGAATTTTTAGATTAAAAAATTAACCCAGATGTATAAATTTAGTCACAAGAGCTATGGAAAAAAAGGTAATTTTAATATATATATATTTAACCCCCTCATATGCCTTTTTCGAAATAAATTTTTGGAAAATATTAAATAACACCTTTCATCATAAAGTCGTTTTTTTTAATTTAAATTACCTTTACTGACGGTCAAAAATATCCTAAAACACCATGAATAAACCAGGATATCCAAAAAAAAAAAACAATCACACCAACATATAATCCAAATTCGAAAAATATTCCCCCTAAAAAAATAAAATTTTGAGTCAGGAGAGTTGTCAGCGGCGTCTCCTTAACACAGCAGAACACACACTATCTTGCCTCTCCTAGCACCCAGCAGCCAGTCCCAGCAGACTGGGAACCAGTCCTAGCGGGCCTGGGGGCCGCCCACCACACATACCCACCACCAACACCGTAAAATATGGTTTAAAATGCGCCATCACGAACCTTCCTGGGCCAGCCGCCGCCTCTCACCCGCCTCACATAACTGATATTTCACTATATTTACTCTCCTTCCCTTTATACCCTAATAAAAACCATCAAATTTAATCGGAAATAAAATTCCCCATCCTCACAAATCCCAAAATACCAAAAAATCCCGCTAATAAGCCGTTAATTAGGCAAAATATCTCCTTATCATAACACTGATTTACGTCATTAAGTCGTAAATATTATTGTTGTTCCAAAATTCTTTTCCATTTTTCACATTGTTACGTTTTTTCCATTACTATTTATTTCATGAATTTTCGTTCACTAGCAGCAAGATAATGGTGATTTACTGTATTAATAATTAAATTATTTACTTGGTGTTTATTTCAGCGACTCTATAATGCTAATGTTTAATATTTATTGACGGAAATAATGAACGATGAATTACGGTACAAGTGTTCACAGGTTACGTGGCTTAGGTGGGTTAAGTGGGTTAGGTGGGTTAGGTGGGTTAGGTGGGTTAAGTGGGTTAAGTGGGTTAGGTGGGTTAGGTGGGTTAAGTGGGTTAGGTGGGTTAGGTGGCTTAGGTGGGTTAAGTGGTTAGGTGGGTTAGGTGGGTTAGGTGGGTTAAGTGGGTTAGGTGGGTTAAGTGGGTTAGGTGGGTTAGGTGGGTTAAGTGGGTTATGTGGGTTAGGTGGGTTAGGTGGGTTAAGTGGGTTAGGGGTTAGGTGGGTTAGGTGGGTTAAGTGGGTTAGGTGGGTTAAGTGGGTTATGTGGGTTATGTGGGTTAGGTGGGTTAGGTGGGTTAAGTGGGTTAGGTGGGTTAGGTGGGTTAGGTGGGTTAAGTGAGTTAAGTGGGTTAGGTGGGTTAAGTGGTAGTGGTTAGGTGGGTTAAGTGGGTTAGGTGGGTAAGTGGTTAGGTGGGTTAGTGGGTTAAGGGGTTAGGTGGGTTAAGTGGGTTAAGTGGGTTAGGTGGGTTAAGTGGGTTAGTGGGTTAGGTGGGGTTAAGTGGGTTAGGTGGGTTAAGTGGGTTAGGTGGGTTAGGTGGGTTAGGTGGGTTAAGTGGGTTAGGTGGGTTAAGTGGGTTATGTGGGTTAGGTGGGTTAAGTGGGTTAGGTGGGTTAAGTGGGTTAGGTGGGTTAAGTGGGTTAGGTGGGTTAAGTGGGTTAGGTGGGTTAAGTGGGTTAGGTGGGTTATGGTGGGTTAGGTGGGTTAAAGTGGGTTAGGTGGGTTAAGTGGGTTAGGTGGGTTAGGTGGGTTAAGTGGGTTAGGTGGGTTAGGTGGGTTAGTGGGTTAAGTGGGTTAGGTGGGTTAAGTGGGTTAAGTGGGTTAGGTGGGTTAGGTGGGTTAAGTGGGTTAGGTGGGTTAGGTGGGTTAAGTGGGTTAGGTGGGTTAGGTGGGTTAGGTGGGTTAAGTGGGTTAGGTGGGTTAGGTGGGTTAAGTGGGTTAGGTGGGTTTATTTCGTGGTAAGGGAGTCCTGACGTAAAGGTAACCTAGAGTAACTCAGTTTAATTTAACCTTACTCCGCCAGCGGTAGAAATTTAACCTTCAGCCCGTGGCCTGGTGGCTAAAACTCGCTTCACCCACATGGCGAGCGTCCGGGTTCGATTCTCAGCGAGGGTAGGAACATTGGGCGTGTTTCTTTACACCGGTTGTCTATGTTCACCCATCAGTGTAAAATAGGTGCCTGGGTGTTAGTGGACTGGTGTGGGTGGCATCCTGGGTGTTAGTGGACTGGTGTGGGTGACATCCTGGGTGTTAGTGGACTGGTGTGGGTGACATCCTGGGTGTTAGTGGACTGGTGTGGGTGGCATCCTGGGTGTTAGTGGACTGGTGTGGGTGGCACCCTGGGTGTTAGGTGACTGGTGTGGGTGGCATCCTGGGTGTTAGTGGACTGGTGTGGGTTGCATCCTGGGTGTTAGGTGACTGGTGTGGGTGGCATCCTGGGTGTTAGTGGACTGGTGTGGGTGGCACCCTAGGTGTTAGGTGACTGGTGTGGGTGGCATCCTGGGTGTTAGGTGACTGGTGTGGGTGGCATTCTGGGTGTTAGGTGACTGGTGTGGGTGGCATCCTGGGTGTTAGGTGACTGGTGTGGGTGGCATCCTGGGTGTTAGTGGACTGGTGTGGGTGGCATCCTGGGTGTTAGGTGACTGGTGTGGGTGGCATCCTGGGTGTTAGGTGACTGGTGTGGGTGGCATCCTGGGTGTTAGGTGACTGGTGTGGGTGGCATCCTGGGTGTTAGGTGACTGGTGTGGGTGGCATCCTGGGTGTTAGGTGACTGGTGTGGGTGGCATCCTGGGTGTTAGGTGACTGGTGTGGGTGGTATCCTGGGTGTTAGGTGACTGGTGTGGGTGGCATCCTGGGTGTTAGGTGACTGGTGTGGGTGGCATCCTGGGTGTTAGGTGACTGGTGTGGGTGGCATCCTGGGTGTTAGGTGACTGGTGTGGGTGGCATCCTGGGTGTTAGGTGACTGGTGTGGGTGGCATCCTGGTTGTTAGGTGACTGGTGTGGGTGGCATCCTGGGTGTTAGGTGACTGGTGTGGGTGGCATCCTGGGTGTTAGTGGACTGGTGTGGGTGGCATCCTGGGTGTTAGGTGACTGGTGTGGGTGGCATCCTGGGTGTTAGGTGACTGGTGTGGGTGGCATCCTGGGTGTTAGGTGACTGGTGTGGGTGGCATCCTGGGTGTTAGGTGACTGGTGTGGGTGGCATCCTGGGTGTTAGGTGACTGGTGTGGGTGGCATCCTGGGGACAAAACTGACCTAATATGCAGGAAATGCTGTACATAACAAGGAACTTTCTTTTTGTTATGTATGGGTGTCCTATGGTCTTATAATTGTGTCAGGTACTGGTATAATAAATTTTTATTATTTTTTTTTTATTATTATTATTATTATTATTTTTAAATTTATTATTATGGTCTTTTAAAAGTTGTGTCAGGTACTGGTAGTAATAAATATTATTATTTTTATTATTATTATTATTATTATTATTTTTTTATTTTTATTATTAGGCGAAAAATT